GACATAGATTAAATAACTTTAGAAACTCAGCAAGCCAGACTCCTTCAAGAAATGCTCCTTCCTTGGGTGCAAGCTATCTGTTGGGTTTTCAAGGGAAAATTAGAATGTGTTCTTGCAAGAAACACCAGTATCATGATGCATGGGGTTTGAATTTCAGGCAAGACAAGTGTAACTGAGGTTGAAGCTCTGGTCATTTTAAGTCAAGAGAATTAATTAAAATTAAATATTAATAGTATAAAGGACTGGCCAGACAGTCAGTGGTTCACCACTTACATTCTGTGCCTGGTGATGTGTTGGAAGTGAAGAGGAACCATCCCAGCGATATTCTGCAGGACAGATAGGTTGTTGATGACTTTAACTGCCAGTCTGTAGCAAGATTCTGTTGTCTTGATTGAACTGAGATTTTGGGATTTCTGGGGAAGTTTTTAACATGGGAAATACCTATGTATTTTAATGGTAAAAGGTGACTGACAGGTGGTAGTGGAAGAGGAACTTAAAATTTGGTGTTGATATGGAGGTGGGGAGTTTCAGACTGTTGAAGCACTAGACTTTCTAAATACAACAGATGTAAGAATTTGTGCATCAACAAAAGAATGTCTTTTCATTCACTGTTGTGCTAAATTGGACAATCTTAGTTCATTCTACTTCTGAGACTTGTACTGTATTTTTCTAGGGACGGAGAGGTTTCTTTAATAGGGTTCATAGTAGACTCAGATTTCTGTTCTATGCAGAAGGAAATTGAAGACCTCCGAGCAAGACTGGCCATACTAGAAGCAAAAGATCAACAGCTAAGAAGAGAAGTTGAAGAACAAGATAGGCTTATTCAGTCACAGGACTGTGAACTGACTGCTTTACTTGGCTGCATTTCTTTGAGAGAGCTACAGGAAATAAGCAAAGCTGTGGATGACACTTTAGCATCCTCCTATCAAATTCCATTCAGTCTGGATCTTCCAGGGACAATAAAGAGGTATTTAATTTTTAATATGTTGCCAGTGAGGTAGAGTCTCGTACCTTTCCAACGTACTGTTGAGTTGGCTGTCAGTTGTTTTCCTCTTAATTGTGCCAGCTAATTAGCTGGATTCAGATACTTTAAAATTTTCAGAGAATAGATGTTGAAGTTGTAATATTAATATACTTACTCAAGAAGGAAGACTTTAGTTATTTGAACGTCTTACACTTATTACTTTTTTGTGCTCAAGAGCCACCAACAGAAAGCATACATATCCATCAACTGTTCATACCTATCATCTGATTAAACTACTTGTTATCTGGTTGAACCTTTTCCCTAGCTTGGCAATGCAGTAGCTACAGCATATTTCTCACAGCCTGTAAGTGTGTACTAGGCCTCATCCAAATAAATATTGCAGATATTTCTTCAGTGAACTTCCAGTCATCATAAATTCATAATGAATGTGATGAGTATTAGGCTCAGACAGTGGACTTGAGGTAGTGGGCAAAGGGATACAGCATGAAGACTTCTGGAACACCTACAGTTAAATGCACATTGTATGGTTTATTTAAATAGAAAAGTAGCTACTTTTGGTAACCTTTTGGAAATAACCTCATCTTTATTTACAAAAGCAATAGAAATGCTTCAGGGCCTAAACTGTACTGGTAGTCAATGGGATGTTGATGATGGAACTCTGAATGTGTTACTGCTGCTGTGTCACCAGGACAAAATAAAATTCCTGTTTATCCTAACTTGCATTTCTTCCAGATAAGCAGTAACTATGTTGCTTGCATTTTTTTTCTCCCTTCATGTTTATTTCATTTAGTTTGGTTATATTAACATTCATGAGAAACTGCTGCTTGTGTGTGCTAATTTATACTTTTTTTTTTTTAAGTCAGCAGAACATTTTTTAGAGGGCATATTCCTTTCTTTTGTGGTTCGTTTAAAAATTTAAATTAGGTTATGGGAAATAGTTTCCTGAATTAAATTCAGTTTGTTTTAATAGTAACTTTCACCTGTGTTTCTGAGATTGAGGAATAAAAGCTCTCAAGCAGTCAGTCTGAGAACCCATGCTTTGATTGGAGTTTTCTCTTAGTTTTGGATTTGCTTATGAAAGAATACTCTGATTTTTATTTTTTTTTTATTTCTCTCACACTGCTGATGTGATGTTTGAATTGCACTTAAGTCTTTGGGAAATTATTTAAAGATCAGTTAAATTGGTACTGGTTCAGGAAGAACTTGCTCGGAGTACTTTGTTCAGCAGCACCATGAATAATGCAGTCACTTGAGGGAATACTGGTGTTCATTATTTGAAGTCGGTTCAGAACTTCAATGAAGACTTAAAATTAATTTCTGCCCTTTCTTTTAAAGATGACTTGAACAGAACTTTTCTGTTTTAGTTTTCTTTGTTGATCAACTTTGTGTCACCAGGGCAAATGGTCAGGTACTTTTGCTCTCTTTACCATAGCTGTAGGGAGAAAGAAATGCTGGTTTGGGCTGCACAAGTAAGCAAGCGTAGCCGGCATCTGTGATGGCCTTCAGGAACAGTTTAAATCTCCTATGTCAGACTACAGTTGTGTGCTCTTTTCAAACCGCAAAACCTTTTTCGACCAGAACTGATGGCAATAATGTAGATGTCCACCTATGACATCGTCACAGAGAAGCTCAAGTCCTTGGTTCAGATTGTGGAAGCTCTGTGTGTAAGTCCTCAGCAGTCTGTCTAGACCTGAACCTACAGACTCAGAGCAAACTCGTACCTGCCAAGGATTGCAGTGACCTGGCAGGCAGCATGTTTCATCACAAATCTTAAGGTGGGCCTTAACGTATCCAGGAATGCAAAAGAAGAAATCTGGCAAAAGGGCAGGAGGAAATGTGACTCTGGGAGAGTGAAGGTGGAGAGGATTAATGGTTACAGCATTCAGCTAAGATGAGAGAGAGACCTGGTGGTCATAGTTGTTGAGGGAGTTGGCAACTGTTCACCAATGAAGTGCTAGATTTTATTTTTTAACTTTCTTCTTGCCAACTTAAAAGCAAAGTGAGCTGGTAGGAACGTGTTACAACCTGGCCGATGCAGGCTTTCAAAGAAGCAAGGTACTTCTCACTGCCTATTCAGCAGCTTCTCTCTTCTCTGCAGGAGATGGCAGCTCTCTCTGAATTAAAAACACCTTGTAGGTGTTTTCATTACATGATGTAGCTTCTTGATCTGGTAAATCCCATTCAAAATCTGCGTAAGTGTTGTATATGCCATGCCTGCTGCTCTGTTGAAAAATGCATAAACTGCCTTGGGAGCACAGGCTAAAATCTCCAGTCCAGCTGTGTGGCTCAACCCCTTGACTTTATCTTGTGGTCCCTTCCTTACATTTGGTTCTCAAGTTTTTTCCTTGAACCACTTGCTACTTTAGGTGGCTGAAAGTATCCCAGTGCTGTGCTTGTGTCGTGGTCAGCAGGCACAATTCCAGCACGGGTTCTTGCCACTTCTTGCTTTCAGGGCAGTCTATATATCCAGGAGGGCTGAATATGCTCCTACAATGATTGTGGCTAATTAACAGTGAGAGTTACACGCTCTGCTAAACTGAACAAAGTGATTGGTGTCTTCCTTTTAAAGCTTTGCAGTCCATCACACCTTAAGTACAGTGATCTTATGTCTGCATCTGGTGATGTTCTGTTCTCTCTTTGTGTAAGATGAAAAAGCAGCAAGTAGATAGTAAGACATCTGGTGTGGATATACTTCCCGTGTGCCTATGGGCATCCCCTACATTGTCATACAATTATAGAATAATTTAGGAGGTCATCTTCTCAAACTCCTGGTTAAAGCAAGGTCAGAATTTCCAAGTGAAATCAGGTCGCTCGGGGCCCCACCTGTCTGAGTTTCATGTGTATTCAAGGATGGAGATTTTGCAGCCTTGCTAGGCATCATGCATTTCACCAGTTCTGCTGTGAACTTTTTTTGTCTTGTAACTCGCCAGGATTTCCCTCGTTGCAACTTGCATTGGCTTATCCTAAATCAGTACTTCTTATGAAAGGCAGTTGTATATTAGGTAACAGGTTAAAATACTTGATGAAGCCAGTTCAGCATGTTAATTTTAAATTCCAAAGTCTGGGGATTTTTAATGTGAAAGAGATTCTTCTGGAAATGAACATTTTATTTTATGAATCATTGCAGAGAAAAAAAAAAGTCTTCTGAAGTTAAGGCTATCTGTGTGAGAAATAAAACTATTACTTGTGCACAATACTAAAGATCAGTGTTATGTAGGATGTTGTTCAGTATTGATGGGCTGTAAATGACAAGCTCCTGGGTATTGACTTGCAAGATACTATGTACTTACTCGAACTGCTTTGTGCTACACAGTAAAGTACTGCTATAATGTGCTTTTGCATAATTATTTGTTGGGTACATGAATTGCATTCAGTGCCGAAATAACACAGACCTGATGTGAAGCATCTCTTAAGACAATCTGTGCAAATGAATCATACTGAGTTGCTTGCAGCTTGCTATGAAATACAAATTATATTGCTTTTCTTGGTCTAAATGCTATTAAATAGCAACTTATTAAAGCAAACTTCAGGGAACATGAGAGAACATCTTAAATGAAGAATAATTGCCCACATAGAAGTATGCTGTAGCAAGTCAATGCAACATTGGGCTGAGCATTGTTTCTAAGCTTATTTTTCTTGTCAAACATTGTTATTTTCAGGAAGATTAATAATCCTTTGTTTTGTCTTGTTTGTCTTCGGTATGTGGTGGACTTTTTCAAAACAAAAAGCCTTTGTCAGTAACTACAGCATGCTCTGAGTCTGAAGAATTGAGAAATATTAGACATGTTACCCTGGGCCCTTTCTTGAGGGCTGTTGGAGGCTGAGGTTAAAACCTGGCCAGTTAATTCACATATATGTTAGCGTGTGTTTTGACGGGGATTCTCACCGAGGCTGAGACCAGAGAATGTGGTTGTTTTGCTCATCCAGATGGGCCTAATTGCTCCTGGTAATACAAAGAGTGTAATCATTGTTATAAAATGAGTAAATTGCAGTGCAAAAGCTCAGTTTGCTTGTGTGAGGTTGCGTGGAGATGTGTTTAAAAGGTGGGAGCAGCTGGTGTGTGCACCACCACATGTGTCTGTGGTTTAACTGAAGACAGCATGCTGAAATCAAAATAGGTCTAAATGTTTCAGTGTGAAGTACTTTCTCCTGAAGATTACAAAAGGTAACAAAATGTATCATTTCTGTATCCTCTGCTGAAGAGGACACCATTTCAGAAATACATGTTTTTAACTAGTGTAACTTGAATTTTTTCATTATAAAATAAGACCATGCTAATTATTTGACTTATTCTCTTCAGTACCTGTTTCTTTTCGTTTCACAATGAAAACTGGGGAAGTCTGTTATACTTCTGTTCGTATTTAGTTTTACTGGTCTTATCTGTATTTGCAGATGCATGTGACTGTACAGCATGTCATCCTTAAAATAAATTGCACAGTTCCATCTGGAGTATTGTCTGGGAACTGAATGGTGGTTAAAAGAGAGAAATTCAATTAAATATTTTTTCAAAGCACTTGAATACTCCACTTCTTCCACTTTTCCCATGGAACAATTTTTAGTTAGTAGGAATTTGTTCCATGGTGAGTGCATGGGATCTTCTGAAGATAGGGAAATTCTCTATTCTGTATATTAGTTACTATGGTACTGTCATGGCCAGTAATCCAAAGAACCGAACTTGAAATTTTATGCCACCAGTTCACTCTGCTTTAGTGATGCCTGGAGCTCATCTGGCGAAGATCAATTCAAAGTGAATACAAATGCTCAGGGGGTTGAAAACCTTATTTCTTGGAATATACTCAAAGCATTCAGCAACTTCAGTTGAGACCAAAGCCTGATAAACCCCAAAAAGGTAGATTTTTTTAGAGAAGTTTATTTAGTTGGGAAAAGTTGGGGAAAAAAGACTTATATGTAGTTTCACATAATAACTTAGGAAAAGTGCCATTCAGAATGGGTTGTCATGTACTGTCATTAGGAGAGACTGC